TAGCAAATCAAACAAGATAATGTAGATAGACACCTTAATTCGTCTTCACTGTATCGTAGCTATACTCAATGCTAACGCCTAACTTGACACATAAATTTAATTTTGGAGGTGTCTAAATGATCATTTTGTAAGTTGGAGTGCGTTCAACTGACACTATAAAGACAGGTTAAAGTATTTGGATACACATCCTCAAAATTGTGGAGTGTTTAATTAGTTGTTAGTTGAGGGCTTGAGGCTATTGCAGAGTGAAACTATCATCTCATCTAAAAACTTAAGTTATTAGAGATAGCAAACGTTTATTATTTTGGTGTATTTAATTTCCACCTGCCCCATCACACACATGCCTAAAATTTTTTTACGAGTTAAGCACATGAAAGTTTTTACGACTCGTTTCGATCCATTTGCTTGAAAAAAATGCCTTTAGGCTTCGGTCTCAAACTTTTTGCTTGCACTTAAAAATGGAAGCGAGGATGGAGTAATGAAGAAAAAATTACATAGATGAAAATAGAAACCTTATCAATAACATGAAAATCCAAATAATCAATCAATGATTATTAAAATTCCATGATAGTGATTAGTGGGTGATTAGTGGTGAAGTGAATGGATAACTAAAATTAAAATAACCAATCATCGATTACTAAGATTTTCCATATTACGAGTTAAGCACGTGAAAAATCTTTTTGATAGTAGATAACGGTGAGATTCAATTTCAGGACTTCCATCTGCTCTAATATCACATTGAAATGTGTGTACACTTTAGATGAGATAATCACACCACACGTCTTAGATATATTGTCCTACTATGTATATATGGTCCACATACTACAAGCTTAAATTTTCTTTGCGGCAGAGGCTAAATTAAAATGTCTATTCATGTATTATGCTTTTAATGTGGATTGCATGCATGTATAGTCCGCAAAGTACGATGCAATTAACAGTAGAGTAAATAAGTAACGTCAAGGCAAATAGTGATTCGATGTTGATTATTTCCAATAATTGAATAAATACACAGCTAGAGTATCTTTGGAAGATAGTGCAAAATCAAATAATTTTTTTGTCATTAATGCCAAAGAAGTTCGATGTCATTTTCAAATAAATGGAGCCTATTATATGTATAACTCAGACAAAATATTATTTTTCCTCCAAGCAGTCCATGTCCATGCCTTTTTGGACTTCACTTTGGAGCTTCTTTCAACTAAATGAATTTAACTAGTGCCGGTAAAAAATTTAGAGTAGCATTTTTGTTTATGTGCATATTAATTTATTGTCACTAAGAGGTCGTTTGATTGGGAATAAGTTATCCCGAGATTAACTATATATCTCAGGATAACTTATCACACTATATATATGAGATAACTTATCATGCACATCACTAAAGTATAAATAGTGGGATAAATAGTTTCATGACTATTTAATTCCTCCAACCAAATGCAGAATAAAATAATCCTACATTTTCTGAGATTATTATACATTATACCTCACACCAAACGACTCCTAAAAGTTATTTTTGTTGTTGTAAATTAATACTTGAAAAAAATGAGTTTTAGGTTTCTGATGACTCAAGATTTTTGCTTGTACTTAATTATATTTGAAAGAGAGGTGGGAGAAATGAAGAAAGAATTAGAAGGTGAAAGTGAATGGATATACGGTTAAGGATATTAAGATTTTGTTATATAACTTGATCATTCAAATTCATTAAAATAATTATGAAATTCAAAAATAAACACATTTTATGATTAAAGTTCAGAACTAAAAAAAATAAATACGCTTTAATAGCTAAAATTTGAATAAATAAAATTCAATTTTTTATTAAGTGCAAAAAATAATGTATTGTTTCTTTTTGCTCCTCATTTCTCCATTTTTGATAGCTCACGCCTCACCGACGTCATCGTCTTACCTTTTTGTCTCATTCATCAAGACATCCTTTTCTATCTTTCGATTTCATTGACAATGCCAACTACTTCTTTCGTTTCATTTATTTGTCTAATTTTAATTTGTCACGGAATCTAAGAAAGTGAAAAAAAGATTTTTGATCAATCATATGGTCTTAAATTAAAGATATGTATTTAGTACCGAAATATCATTTATTCATATGATCTTAAACATGTCATGTGGAAAATAAAAACTAAAGTGTAGTGAAAAATAGAAAAAAAATACTCTTTTTGAACGGACTAAAAAGATAAAAGAAATAAATTAAAATGGAAAGAATATAAGTTGGCTAAGATACTACTGGGTAAACACAATTCCTGGTTGAAAAATATTTTGGAGATTGTTGTTTGGCCAACAACCCGCAGTCAAATGAAAAAACAAAGAGAAAGATATTTTATGTCAAGACACAGAATCTAGACCTTATGAGAATTTTTATTTAAAAATTAATGATAGGTCATAGAAATTTGAAATTTAGTGTTAGGTCATAAAAATGATCCCAAAATTAGTGTAAGGTCATACAAGAATTTGAAGTTATATTTGAAAAACATTCGAAACTTCGTTCACTTTTATAAAAAAAATTCTTTATCAAAATTACCATACAGAAATTATTTTTATAAAATAACCTCATTTCAATTGTATTTTATATGATTAAACACAATTTTAATTTCAACTTTAAAATTTTCAAATAAAATGAAAAATATCATTTTCATGGTGTATAAACTAAATAAAGTTTTTAAAGATCTTCAATAAACTACATTACTCAAATCAAGTATAAGAAGAAACTTCACTTCCTTAAGTGCATCTTCTCCCCTACCCTCTCATTTGTATTTATGTAGTCTCTATTTATGTAATACATTTCTTTAATCCATAAAGAATTATATCTATAGAAATAATTTTATTTTATTTTGAATAAGATCATTTTTAATTAGTGATGAATGTAGAATACGATTTATAGAAAAATTTTCCTTGTTTTCAAAACATTGTTTGATTATACATTGGACTGATTTGTTAAAAAGATGGAAGATGAGTTTCTTGAAGTAATATCCTTTTGCTCACAATTTCAACTTTTGTTTTTCATGTTAAACACATGTTCAAATATTTTTAAATATCCCTTTTCTACTTAATTTCATTTCAAATACTACTCTATTTTCTTTTTATTTCAAATTTCACACTTTTTATGTCTAAATACCTACTTAACAAGATAAATAGAATGAAAATATCAGCTATCAAGTAATACCAATCTAACATGGCTTCTGAACAATTTAACAAGATACGTAGTATGACAATAGTACCAAATCATACCAATCCACACGACTTGTGAACAATTGATTAGATAGGTAGAATAAGAATAATATCAAGTCATATCGAGTCAGCATGACTAGTAAACAATTTAACAAGATAGGTAGAATGAAGATACTATCAAATCATACCAATCCGCCATGACTTATAAGCAATTGTGTTGTCAAAGGTGCGTTCAAAGCACACTTATTACTCGTTTGGTAGAGTGTATAAAAATAGTACTAAATAGAGTGTATTAGTAGTGTTTGCATTAGTAATGCTTGTATTAGTTATACTTGCATTAGTTAGACATAGAATATTTTTATGCATTATTTGATTTGGTGTATTAAGAAAAATATGTATTGTATAAAATTATTTATTTACAAAAGTATCATCCATAATTATGGTTGAAAAGATGTAAAAGTGTTTTTGAGGGGTAATTGGGTCTTCAATCATGCTAATGCATGTATTAAATTCCTTTGCATTACTAATACCTAGAAATCCATAGTATTAGTAATACACTCCTCAATACACAATAGAGTGTATAACTAATGCTTGCATTAGTTATACATAGCATGAAAAAAGGTATCAAAGAAGGTGCCACTAATACACAAAGCTAATGCAAGCATTATTTTTGTCAATACACTCTACCGTAAGCCCTCAAGTGAGGTGCAAACCATGTTGAGCGTTATGGGCACTTTAGTGCCGTCATCAAGGCTCTAAAACATATTTTTTCTTGTCAATGAGCGTTATTCTGAAAACATTACACTAAACAATTGATATTTCACTTTATCATTAAAAAAAGTTCAATTTTGTTGTCCATATATTTGTAATTCATGCTAGTGGTTATTAATTTAGACTACACATACATATTTGTATTTGATTTCTCCATTTGCACCTTTTTCCGATAAAAATCACTCTTTAGTTGCACTTAATAACACTACTAGTACCCAATTTAACAAGATAGGTAGAATGAAGATAGTACCAAGTCATACCGATTTGACATGACGATAGATGTTCCGTTACAATTCCAAGGGTAAATGCTTGTTCTTGGATTTGAAGTTCAAAAGAACGAAGGAAGAGATTCAAAGGGCCTCCCTCACCTTATTATGTATTTACATGCCAACGTTCTTTTAATGTGATTTACTATGCTGCAAAACATTTTTATTTTAATCCTCTTTGGAGCCAAGATGGTCAAATAGCCTAGTGAGTCTGATGCTCATGTTTCTCCAGGTGTTCTTCAACTGTATGTGTTTAGGAAAACATCTATTGGACTTTGTTCTCTTGATCTTGTGTACCTGCTAAGCTTTAAGAAGTGGGTAATGCAGTAGGTGAAGGAAGCTCAAGCCAACTCCTGCTAATACTATTGCTACCTCCTCCTGAACATTGTGTTGCTATGGTCAATAAGCAGCATTAAAGTGGTTCTGAATGACCTTGAGGAGGCCACTGTGTAGCACCTTTCTTGCTCGAAGGATCTGTCATTTTCACTTTTCTAACTTAAAAAGGTCTCTGGACAAAAGCGTGCATTAATGTTAGCTTCTGGAGAATACACGGAGAGATGGAGGAAATTTTAGTTAAACTTTTTTTCATTAAAGTCAAAAATCATTTTCGCACAGATTCCATAAGCAGCACCCGGCACCCGCCCATTTCCACCCCTATTTTTCTAGCATTTTAAGGTGAAATTAATTCTAGCTGGCATTACCTGTAAAATATGTCGACAGTATCAGGGAATTGCTAGTAGTAATACAACTAACACATATTTAATCCTCAATTTGAGCTAAAGACCAGTTACCACGATTAAGTCCTATTCTATTTGAATACTACTTATAGATCTTAAGAACTTAACAATTCTGATGAAGAGCCCACCAACTCAATAAATGAAGGTGTGACACCAGAAACAACCACTCGTACTAGTTTAGATTCACTCGTAAACATAGACCAATATCAGTACACTCGAATTTAGGAAAGGAAATTAAGGAAAAGGTATATGTCAATGTCAACATCAACATTATGCTACTACAAGTTAAGACTACATGCACGATGAAGCTAACCTCTCACTCTTCAGTTGGGGATGCCCTGGAAGCCAAGCCTTTGATAATATGCCGGCACTGAAACCTGACAAGTCATTGAAGCTAATATCATTAAGAATAGCACATGTGGACCCTGCCAGTGTAACAATACAGTACTGGATTCTCAGCAATGTCCTTCGTCTCAACATTATTTTTTGTCTTAAACCTGAGGTTGAAATAACATAACATGGAAATACCTACGCATATAAAAGGTCATTGCACCTTCTGCCCTAATCTAACCGATAATTACATTGACACTTTTAAGCTATGTTGCTCAGACTCTCTAAAAATATTGCCATGCCCGTGTCGGATTCTCCAAAAATGCAAAACTTTTGGAGTATCCGACACACAACGTCGACATTTTTGAAGAGTCTGAGCAACATAGCTTTTAAGGATCCCCAGTAGTTCGGAAATGTCAATTTGACAAACATTATATAGGAATCAGGAAAGGAAAAAAGGAATGCTTAATCCCCATCTAGTGGTTAAACTAGGACGCCAGACAGCATATAACATTTGGGTCACAAATTAATTCAAACCAAAACAATAAAGATGGCAACAAAAAGCATCATTAGCCAATAGATCATCTCATGAGGAAGAATATTTAATACTGATTCATAAAATAAAATTGGTACAGCTGTAGTGCTACCTCGTGGTACTGCTAACAGGAAAGTCGGTCTATAGCGAAAAAACTTATTACATCTCTATGACCTTATGTACTATGCTAGTGAAATCATTAGCTTGATCAAGACAGATCCAAGCCTCCCTCTATGTCTCTCCTAGGCTTTTAGACAGGATATTTTAAGCACTCCATACCTTGATTGCCTACGTTTCCATTCTTCTCCTGTAGCATCTTGTGTGTTGTGGTTCTCTTCTTTTGTTCTTTGGAGTTGCGGTATAGTGTGCGTTCTTGCCTTTTGATTATATTTTTATTTAGTCAGTAATTGTCTTAATTTTAGACTTTTTTGGGTGGCTTTGGTGAAAAATGATAGATTAGGGTCATGTCCAAGGTCAAGGGCGAGGGGTAGGAGTGGTAAGACGTGTGTCCAGAAAACTAAGTGGGTACCAAGGCTCGGAATGTGGATGGGTTTAAGTTGAGGTACTCAGGAGGCTCGAGGGATAGGAATGAAGTAGGCATCTTAGTAGATGGGGACCTTAGGGAGCAAGTGGTGGAGGTTAGGAGGATTAATGACAGGATGATGATGATGATTAAGCTAGTCGTCGGAGGGCTTACTTTGAATATTATTATTTATTAGTGCTTATGCCCCACATGTGGGCTTGGATGAGGATATCAAGAAGCACTTTTGGGAGGATTTGGACGAGATCGTGAGGGGTATACCGCACATCGAGAAGATATTCATTGGCAAAGATTTCAATGGCCACATTGGGGCAACCTATAGTGGCTTTGACGATGTGCATGAAGGCTTTGGTTCGGTGACAGAAACGGAGGTAGAAACTCACTCCTGGATTTTGCTAAAGCTTTTGAGTTGGTGATCTAACTCGTGCTTCCCAAAGGAGGATCACTTGGTTACCTTCCGTAGCGCGGCGGCTAAAACTCAAATAGATTACTTACTCTTGAGGAAAGGCAATAGAGGCTTTTGAAAGAACTGCAAGATTATCCCATGTGAGAATCTTACTACCTAACATAAGCTTTTGGTAATATACTTGGAGATTCAATGATGGAGGAGGAATAAGAATCTATATGACCAACCAAGGATTAAATTGGGTGGCTTGACCCTTGCCCTCGCCTAAGGATATAGGAGAGAAGTTGATGGTGATGATGGCTTGGAAGAGTAGTGGGGATGTGGAAAGTATGTGGGATATGACAGTTAGTTGCATTAGGGAAGCAGCTAGAGAGATTCTAGGGGTGTCAAGGGGTAACATTGGTAGTCATCTAGGGGATTGGTGGCAGAATGGAGAAGTACAAGGCTAAGTGGAACCAAAGAAAACAGTCTACGCAAAGTTGGTGGAATGCAAGGAGGAGGATGAGAAGCAGATGAATAAGGAAATGTATACTAAGTTAGTGGTTACAACAGCAAAGACGACAGCCTTCAAACGGTTGTATTTGGAGGTAAGAGACAAAGACCGAAATAAGAAATTGTACAGGGCCGCGAAAGCAAGAGAGAGGAAGGCTCGAGACCTGAATCAAACACACTTAGGATGAGGAAGGCAAGGTGTTGGCGAAAGAGACTCTCATTAAGCAAAGATGGCAAACCTACTTCCACAAACTTTTGAACAAACAAGGGGACAAAAACATTATGATGGGTAATTTGGAGCACTCCACGAAACATCAGAATTTTGGGTACTATAGGCAGATTTAGGTTGAAGCGGTTAAGCGTGCTATTATCCGGATGAGCTGGGTAAAAGCGACCAGATATGATGAGATTCCGGTGAAGTTTTGGAAGAGCACGGATGGGGCAGGTATGTAGTGGTCAAATGGTTTGTTTAGTGTGATTTTTAAGATGAGTACAAGAACAAAGGTGATATCCAAAATTGTAACAATTACAGGGGTATCAAGTTGTTAAGCCATATTATGAAAGTTTGGGAGAGAGTGGTGGAGTTGAGGGGTGTGTCCATTTTTGAGAACCAATCTAGATTCATGCCGGGGCAATCGACTACAGAAGCAATCCATCTTGTAAGGAGATTGGTGGAGAGATATCGGGAAAAGAAGAGGGACCTATATATAGTGTTTATTGTCCTAAAAAAGGCCTACGACAAAGTCATGAGGGACGTCTTCTGGAGATGCTTGAAAGCTAGGGGTACTTGTGGCTTACACTAGGACGATAAAGGACATGTATGTTGGAGCTAAGACTCGAGTGAGAACGGTGGGAGGAGACTCAGAGCACTTTCTAGTGGAGATAGGATTACACTGGGGGTCAGCTCTTAGCCCGTTCCTATTTGTCTTGGTGATGGATGAATTGACACGGTCCATTCACGATGAGGTGCCTTGGTGTATGTTATTTGCTAATGACATAATACTAATTGATGAGACGTGCAACGGAGGTAACGTTAGGTTGAAGATGTGGAGATAAACGTTGAAGTCTAAAGGGTTCATGTTAAGTAACCCAAAACAGAGTATTTGGAGTGCAAATTTGGTGAGTCAATGCAAGAGGCAAGTGTGAAAGTGAGGCTTGACACTTACGCTATCCCCAAGAAAGATAGTTTCAAGTACCTGGGGTCTATAATTCAGGGAAGTGAGGACATCAATGATAATATCACACATCGTATTGTTGCGGCGTGGATGAAGTAGACTTGTACCCGAAGCCTTGTGTGATAAAAAAGTATCACCGAAACTTAAAGGTATATTTAATAAAATGGGGGAGAGTGCTTGCCAACTAAGAACTCCCATGTTCAAAATATGCAAGCCACATAAATGAGGATGTTGAGGTAGATGCGCGGGCATACAAGGAGCGATAAGATTAGAAATGAAGATATTTGAAATTAGGTGGGATTGGCCTTTGTAGTGGACAAGATGATGGAAACGAGATTGAGATGATTTGGACATGTAAAGAAGAGATCTACAGATGCCCAATGAAGAGGTGCGAGAGGTTAGTTATAGTAGGTACGAGAAGAGGTAGAGGTAGACCAAAAAAGTATTAGAGAAAGGTGATTAGACAAGACATGGCTCAACTTCCAGTTACGAAGGACATGACCTTATATAGAAGAGTGTGGAGGACGTGTATTGGGGTAGAAGGTTAGTAGGCAGTAGAGTGTTGTCTTGCTTTCTGATGGTTTAGATGTTTGCCGTCGTACTAGTTATAATATTGTAGTTGCTTGTTTAATGTATTTTGATTGTCGCACTATTTTGTTGTTCTTGTTCCTTTCTTGCAGGATATGCACTGCTTCTCTTGTAAGTTGCTATGTTTTTTCCTAACTGTTTTCTTACTCCTTTGTACTTGGATTTGCTACACTTGAGCCGAGGGTCTCTCAGAAACAGAATCTCCACCTCCACGAGGTAGTGGTAAGGTCTGCGTACTCTCTACCTTCCCAAAAACCCACTTGTGGGGTTCCACTGGATATGTTCTTGTTGTTGTTGTATCCCTTGGCTATCACTAGCTAGCTAGAGGGAAAAGGTCAAAAACTCAAATCTCATCGCAATGATGCAGGTCAAAATAAAAAAGGTGAAATGCTAAACCAAAGTTCTCACCAACTTGAAGGTTCATATCAAATAGTGCTCAACTTAATAATATTTTAACTATCATTTTAGTTAGAGCCACAATGAGAGCCATCATAAGTTCTATGGTTTACTAAATTTCAATACGAACGACAATCTGCGTAGCAAACAGTGAAACTGAAATCTTAGTGCTGAGGGTTGAGAAAACTCTTTCCGGATTTATCAAAACATAAAACATATTGAGAAAAAGGTTGAATTTTTGCTTTTCTAGGCAGATTCCTGTCTAGCAATGTCAATGGAAACTGGAAAGAATAGACTAAGAAAATATTTATCATCATAGTCAACAAAAAAAGGACAAAAGTTACAGAGTTATCATATCTAGAAAATTGGAAGTACCAGATAACATCATCGACGTTAGAACTATGTGATGTGATTGCTTTAGTAGGGTGAGTATCATCAGCACACGCTTCTCTTTCAAGATTTTTGGTTCGACAACTGAACCGCACTTTGAAAGGCACTATCTGCACCATAACATGCAAATTGCTTGTGAGGCAAAACATATATAGAAGTAAGATAGATCAATATTGTGATGCTCATAATTATAAGGTTCTGGAGAGTGAAGTTAGAAGTATGATGGACTCTCAAAGGATAATTATTTATCATTAAGGGGTCGTTTGGTGTGAAGGATAATACCAAATAGTCATGGGATTAAATTATAGTATCACTTAATTTGTTGTTTGGTTGGCAAGTCCGGGATAACTTATCCCGGGATTAATAATTAGTACAGGGATAAGTTATCCCTCCCCTTGGGTGGTATAGTAATCCCGGGATAAAATAAGTAAATGACAAAAATGTCTCTTTCAACCTTTTTGTTACATCTCTTTTTACATTCATGAAGGGCATTTTTGTAAACAAATAAATTGTTCTTAAAATTTATTATTTTAAATACAACAAACCAAACACTCAATAAAAAATAATCCCATCATAACTTATCCCATCATAACTAATCCCATCATAACTTGAATTCAAACCAAACGACCCTTAGAGTTAAAAGGAGCTTCAAGGTCCATCATCTCATTTACATCAGATCTAGGTCCAGATACTGATTCAAATTTTGCGAGATGCATACAAACAAGATGAAGTGAGGAAGAGAAGGGATGTAAAAATAATCAACCAGCACTATCATTGCTAGGCAAAGAAAGTTATGGGAAAAAGGGGAGATATGGGAAGGAGCTTCTACGTAAAGCATCAGCTTACGAAAGATTTCATTCTCATCATATCGATATTACAGCAGCTTGATGACAATAAATGATTGACTAGCACAGCTGGACCAGCTAATAATGACATTTTTTGACTGCCATAAAGAATGCTAACCAGGAGAATATGCATTTGAATAACCGAATTCCGATAATTTAGAAATCATAGGGACAACCTATGGGAATTTACCTTTTTGCTGTACCTAAAATCCCTCTTTGGAAGAAAATGCAGATGCAAGTTAATTGACGAAGGAGCTTCAACGAAGAGGAACAACTTGGTAGGACCTAAAAGGATACGAGAATTAGCAATGAATGGCCAGAAATTATACCTTTTATGTATAACCTTTTATGTATAACCTTTTATGTATAACATATATCTAATGGATAGTAATTTCCAATAAATACCAGCAGAGGAGCTAGATCCTGCACCCTTTGAAACTAAGACACGGATGGCCTGTGTAAAAACAGAAACCAAAAATTTATGCAGACAAGATATATACAGATATATCTATATAGAAATGTGAGATGCAACATAAATAAACAAACGAAGAAACCTTCTTTGAAAGAGTTTCCGCAACTCGATTCCTAGTAAATTCTCCTCCAGAAGCTGCCGTTTCACACGAAAAGTTGAGTTCATACACATTAAGAGGGCGCAGAGGACTGGACCCAAGAATCAGAATAACCCTTTGAATGGCAGGAAATTCTGTGATCATTAATTGAAGAGCAGTCCTGAAACTGGATATAGTGTTCATTAACTTCTCCAGTCTCCTTATTCCCATCCTCACCTCCCTCTTCCTGGAAGCATGATTTCTACGTAAAGAACATGTTTCCGCTTGTACAATAGCTGTCTCCTAAAAAAAGTCAGAACTAGGTCACACCAAGCCTAAAGATATGAGTACTGTAAAGGATGCTTAAAGAAAATAGCAATGGCTTCAGAAGCAAGTAACGTGTCTCTTTCCTTAAGACTAATTTTGCTTCTACCATTTTTAACCTGAAACCTAATTACATTATACACAAACAAAATTCGAGTTCTAAACATTCATTAAGAAAAGCAAAGTATCTAATCATACATATCAAACACCATAGTTGTTCATAATATACTTCAAAACTTGAAATAAGTAGTTAAGTTTGGTTTTGATTTATCAAAAGAAGATACTCACTCCGTTCATTTTTATTTGTCCATTGTTTCAAAAATAGATTTTCACTTTTACTTGTCACTTTTAACATATCAAAAAATGACAATTATTTTTTCTTATTTTACTCTGAACATTAATTACTTATTTTCCAAACCTACAACTTGCATCAATTAATATGGATATTGTGGTAAAATACTTATACTAATCATCGTTTTCTATCTAAATTGGACAAGTTAAAGTGATCGGAGGGAGTATAAGTTAATTTAGTTTTTGATTTACTACATCATCTTACCGTAAATTTAATATGGGATTTTGAATATCAAAATCTCACTCCATAGAAAGCAAGGTGCCTTTACATTAAGCCTTGTGACTATTTTTTGAAAATAAGGCAGCATACTTGTAAAAGTACATGAGCCATATGAAATGATAAAATCTCCAATATAAGTTTCCCGAAGTCAAAAGTGCCACATAACAGTAGCACAAATGCTAGTTTTCACTTACCAATTCCGCAAATTCAGTGTTCAATTCATCAAATTCAAGAGTGAGATCCTGCAGTAAGCTGCGCAATCAAACAAAATACAGAAAGAGGATCAGTTAAAACAAGCAAACAACAAAAAGGTATAAACAAAAATCAAATTAGGAAAACAGCGAGAAATTATATACTTACGAAGGGATTTGCTGGTGCATAAAGAGGACGAAACCTAAGATATCAGTAACAAGATGAAATTTGATAGAGCTATCGAGAGTATCTGAGGCTGTTTCAATGACCGTGAAATCTGTTTCCCCTTCTCCTTTTTCTTCCATCTCTAAGGCCTCTGTATGTGCAGAATACCAAGCTCTATTGCAAATTCAAATTAACATTTTTAGCGCGCTGGTTTGGGTTTGGGCTCCGATTGTCCGATCTATTTCCCTCTCCCCTTTATTATATGCTACTCACGAGAGATAAACGTTACTCACAAAATATTTATATTGGTTTGTCAAGAATTATATCTTTTAAAATTAATGCCCAAGACAAATAAAAAGTTCAAATAACAAAATATCTTGTGTAAATAGTACTACTATTTAGCTCGTTAGGATGAGTTTATTTTATATTTGATTGAGATAAAATCATGGAATAACTTATTTTGAAATTGTAGTGTTATTTTTATCTCAAGAATGGAATAATAATCATAAGATAACTAATTTTGGGATAAATAATTATTATTTGTTTCCCAACCAAATGAATCCTTTGAAGTCATTTGGACATAAGAACTATTCTTTTTTTTTTCTAGAATAATTTTTTATTTTTTTAGTTTGGAAAGCTTCTCATGACTTGTTTTCTAGCTCAATCTTCATAAATTGTATTTCTCCTTTTACATATATAACCAATCACAGCTCCAACTTCATAAATTTCAAATAAAGCAAAAAATATTTAAAACCTATAGGCAAAAATGCCTTCTACAATTGTTAAAACTCATTGAACATAGAAGATTTGAATGTGACTGGACATTTGATTCATCAACTAACCGTTGTCTAACCTTTAACTCGAAATTCGAAAATAGTTCTTTCCTTGCTTTTGTTCTGAATGAATTTGGGGAAGAATGGAAATCTTCTGGAGGAAACCACATCATTGCAATGTTTTTAGCTCCATTAAATAGAGAGAAAAGAAAGGAACATTTTCGTACAGACTAGTCCTCATCGCGTAAATATGGTTAAAAATTCACACTGATACACACGTTTCAACAAACACAAGCAGATTGTAAACATACCCTTTCAAAAATAAAGCAAAATCACATCCTCTTTTGCATGCCAAGAGAAGAATAGACTTGCTTCATGCCCATAACTTGGCCATCTACAGTATTTTTGAAAAAATGTAATTATGTACATGGTGAACATGCGTATTCTGCAGGTATCTTGAACTCTATTAATGCTCAGACAGCACTTCATCAGTTTGTGGCAACATTGGAATGGAAGAAAGCCAAACGATGATGCTTTGTGAACAAATCAATAAACCATCCGTGTCATGCTTGTCTTTGTCTAAATTCAGCTATTTCATGCTAGTCATCCTGTATCCTGGAAACACAATTTGAGGAAGCAGATGATTTGTGTTGTCATCAGCAAAATTTCGAAAATTGCATGTAGAAGTCCAACTAATTTGTGAAGCTAGTGGGTTGAATGATTTTTCTGTTTCATGGATCATTGAACTCTATATATTATTATTATGCAGTTACTAAACATCCTGCAAAAACTCATCTAATTGTATATGACACAACTAAAGTGTGATAAAGAGAAATAAAAGGAAGAAGGATAAGATGGTTTCTCTGTCAGCCAAAGGATGGGTTATTACTTGCTACGTATGGAAAATGTGTCTTGACCGAGAAGAGTTGGCTGATAGCGACATCTTCAATCTTCCAAGTTTTAAAAGTTGACTGGTAGTTAAGATTTCACTCAAGAATATCCTAGACTATGCAAAATATTCTCAGCACCAATGATGCAAGCAAGAACTGAATCCCATTTACTGCGCAAACACCAAGTAATGTATGAGAGAAGTCGTAAGGTATAGATCATGTACTATGTATGACACCATAGATATACCTCGAATAGAGCCATACTCCAATCTCATACACCATAACGCTTCAAAGCCATACTTAGACTTGGCATTACATTATATGCTTGATAAGATCTTCTCAATTCAATAATCGAACCTACCTGCAGCAGAAGGCAAGAAGAAGAAATATTTCAGTACGACATATGAAAGACAACGACCATTCTACTACATTCCCAGGTGTATAATAGCAGTGATTTCTACTAGGTTGATAAAAATTACCAGACAACCTCAGAAAAACTACTTATCTTTAATCTGAGTTTGTTCTCTACCTGAAAAACTTTGCCTATATAAGTTAACGGGTTAATTACATATTACCTCCTTGTGGTTTCAGTTGCAGTTAACTTCCTTCGCCATATGGAATAGATATCCCCTCATTGTGGACTCAAAATCATGTGAATTACCTCATTACCGTTAAACCATGTTTCCCACTACTATTAATCCTTTGAAACAGTAGTAAAATTTCATATTTGCCTTGTTAAACTTATAATAATCTACCAAGCAACCCCACAATATAAATACATTACTTTATGACATCGCAATGGACAGAGGATTAAATTTTCGCCTGATGCAAGGCGAGGTCACAGCCCTCTGAAAGATGAGGGAATGGATTCCCTGCTATTTACAATATAGCTTTACAACATGATGCATGTAAACCAGAATATAAAACAGATAACTACAAGAACATTCTGCATATATATCAAAATGTAGAGCAGGTAACTACAGGTACATTCCTCTTAGAAGGAATTGACAAGACTAGGAGATTGACAGTGATACAATCCTGGATAGCCCACACAGCATAGAGACAATTACTGTTTGAGGAGTTGAATTCATACCACATATATATAGTATCATGGAGGGTTAAAATAGGGCTAAGAAGATATTTGGAGGACCAGAGACGATTGTTGCACAGTTGGCTCAGGATCAATTCATGGAGTACCAGTCGTATTAAAAAGAAAAAATGGACTTGGGGTGTGAATTGGGAGAACTTACGACTGACTGAATATTGATCCAACTCTCTTATAGAGCAATCCAACAGTAGGTATATGCCAATGCTGGACAATTGATGAAACATTTAACTTATCCAAGGAACAAGAAGAGACCAATTTCAAGTGCATAATGAGGGTGTCCAACAACTTATTGGTTGCTTAAAAGAGAATGAGGAATCCATTAAAAGATAACACCAGTCATTTTCCTTCTTCAATTAGTTCCTGGATAGAATAAGATGTGTAGAAGCAAGAGATGTTTGCTAATCAAATCAGCTTGAAACAGATTAAGTCAAGGCACCTGCATCATGCTCTTTTTGGGGTTAGAGAGCCTAACTAGTGGGGGAGCGAGGGAGATTTGTGTGTGTTCGGAAAGCAACTATTCATGCATGAAAACCATGAACTTACAATCACTAGTACTGATGTCAAAAAAGATAAGTTAAGGTATCCACATCACATTCTTTTTGTTCCTCTTTTTTCATTTGCTTTTCCCTGAACCTTTGGGTAGAGAGCCTATTGGCAGGAGGGAGAGGAACTTGTGTGTGCTCCGAAAGAAACTATGCATGCCTGAAAACCCATGAACTTACAATTATTAGCACTGATGTCAATCCTATTGCATATCCTTCATTGATGCGCCGCAAATAATGGTCTAGAATGGTGGATGTGGTGGCCAAAACACTTAATAACAGACCACCTACACAACAATCCAATAAAATAAAAAAGAAAAGAAAAGTACCATCTGTTAGTGAATTGCACAAACAAGAAATATAGGTTTAGAGAGAGAGAGAAGATATGTACCCCAGAACCGCGTTGAAGCTTGAATCTTTGTCAAATATGCAATTGTGGCTTTTCCAGGTTTTATACTCGGAATTCTAGCACCTATCTTGTTTAAGTAATCAGCAATTTCTTTTGGCATGTTCGCCTGGTCACAAGTTTACCGTTAAGTAAAACTGAGCAAGAGAGAATATCCCTAAAAACCTTTCAAAAACTTTTCTTTCTTCAAGTGACAGAAGCATAGAAATTGATATGAGATTGACATCAGATAATCAGTTTTTAATAACTTTTCTAAGTGACTTCCATCTTTCCTAAAATGACTACTCTTTCTCCCACTACTATTACTCAGAGAAACCTCAGCCTTATGTGGTCTTCTATCCTTTTTGACTTCCTGGCTACCTTATTAGTAACCTTAAAAGGTTGATTTCAGTTTCTATTTTCCCAACCTCAGCCCTGAACATCGTAAACTCACCAGCAAGTCTAGGTATCTTTTACTTATTTATTCACCTTTACTAGACCAACTGGTATTTTGGGTTTCCCCTAATGACTGGAGTGCTTCAATCCAAGGGAATAGGTAGAAACTTCTCAGTCCAGAAACATCCTTGTTAAAAAGGACCTAGTGTATTGAATTGATTCCATTGATGTTCTATCCACTCCAATTGAACAGCAATCTTCAAGGAAAAAATATTTTGTGCATGTGACATTTTAAAATCTACTTTCTACATGCTAAGTTAATGGCAACTTACAATGTCAAATATGTTGAAGAGGAAGACAAAGAAAGCATAAACTGTATAGTAAACCCATGGATCTGCGCCATGTGAAGTGTCAGGATTCAAAGCGTCTCTAATGTGTTCCCAAAACCTTGAACCAAGAAGACTGCCAAAGGAACCATGTGTCAGAAATCTGTAGCTGAAAACCTCAAAAAACTGATGTCAACTGAAGCTCAGGTACAATGATGGCTCCATATCACTGATGTAGGTAAGATCCAACTTCTAAAACATTGGTAAAGAACCACTGAAGTTTTATATTTTATACGCAAACAACCACTAAAGTAGTGGTGTGAGTGTGACTGTAATCTAATTTAGTTGAATATAAAGTAACCTTGCAAGAATGCCGGGAAGTGCCAACAGATAAGAGGTAACAAGGATAGGCTGCATTCCTGCTGGATTTATGTTGAATGGGATATAAGGCTCCACTGCTGGAACTAGAGAATCTTCTCTGCTCAAGATGAGTAACTTAAATCAGATACCAATATATAATATGCTATTCCCAAATGAGTACAATATATCTCTGTATGTAAAAAAAACTTAATTCTACGATAACTGGCTTCCTAGGCAGTACAAATTGATGTAATTGACTCAATTTAGTACTATGTTTTTGGTGTAATCAGTTATACTCAAATGCTACTATCTCCATAATTGATGTACTAGACTCAACTTAGTAAAAGATAGTAGGATTTAAAGTACATGTTGTAAATATTGACTAGTACAGTCTTAGTACTGTCTTTTGAAAAATATACAAAGTTCCATTTCAAAAAAAAAGGTAGTACAAATTTAAGTTGTAACCAAA